CTCAAAAGTTGTTCTGAAGCCTCCTTCCTTCCTTGTTCTGCCTGAGCAGAGGGCTTTGACCTTTAATTTCTGTTGGAAAACTTAGCCTCTTCCTGAGAAGACAGTCTAAAAGTGTCAAACAAGGACACTACAGGATCCTCCATATCACCCAAAGGTTTCCTTCAGAGGTGCACAACCTGGAACCCAGGGCTGGGTGTGGCCATGAAAGTCTTAGAGGCTTCCCCTCAAGACCTCCACTTTAAAAATCGTATTGCAATTTGTAATGGGAATATATTAACAGGAAGGTATTCTGTACAATGACTGAAAGGTAATCATGATACATCTATTTACTTTTAACTGAATGGCAAATCAAATTCAGTTTTGACCAGTTCCTACATACCATTTTCCTCAAGGAAAATGTGGCCCTTGTGGAAAAGTTGCCCATCCCTTGCCAAGCCACCTGCTCACTTGTGGTGGTCTCTTCAGAGGTTTCACCTATTGTCTTCCTGGTCCAGAGGAAGAATTATGAGACTATCAGAGTTAATTTTAATGGGTTCATTCTTCCAAAATAATTTCAAATTTTTGGGCCTAGTAGTAGCTGTAGGTCCAAGGTGAATGTTATTCTCCTTGCCTTCTGATACTTCACTATGATACTGTACCAGTGGTTTATAAGTTTACTGACACAATTTAACATATTTTAGTCTTTTAAATTTATATACTTTATATTATGCAAAGTATACCTCCTGTCAATGCATGTATGATTGTTATTTTAAAATATGTTAAATCATAATAAATAACAATACTCAACCAGGTCCCTTAGGCAGAACTTCAGTCTGTCAGTTGAGTGATTCTCTCTGTTTTGTATAGCTTTAGTTGACTATAATTGGCTGTAGTTCGCTTTTATTGTGCTGCATTGATTTTGGAAGCTTCAGTGGATGAATGAATGAATGAATGTGCGTGTGTGTGTGTGTGTATTCCATCCTTCTTGATGAGGAAACTCAAGGCAAAGTACAGCAATAATTTTCAACAGTAATTAATCTGTGGGATTTGCAGCCACAAGATGTGATTATCACCAGCTCAGCATATATTATGAAGGAGGAAATTCTACTATTGGGGATTAGTCATTATGGCTATATGAAACTTCTAAGTTTGGAGACATACTTGTAATTTGAAGTTAGTGGTTTTCTTAATTTTGGACAGAGTAATACAATCAGAAAGTATGTACAAAATCATTTATATTAAGTGGACAAAGATACATAGATCAGGGGAAAATGTACAAAGTCCACAAATGACAATAACATTACATTAGGGGAAATGGATCACAATGTATACCTTGGGAAATAGGTATGCAGAAATGCCTAATACTAGGAAAAGTACTTATGACAACACATGTATAAAAAGAAATGTGTTCATTTGCCTGAATGTTTATGCAGATTTTTTAAGTGTGCAAACTGATGCAAAACAAACTTAAAACAAACACAATGACCCCCTCCTTCCCCAAGGTAAGCAAAGTGACAAATGAAATGGAAATTTTCCTTTAAGGAGACAAAAGGTGCTCTAGGTTTAGATGAATCTGCAATTTTGCATGGAACGTATGGTCAGCATGCCATTTTTCAACAAAAAAGAAAGTGGGTCAGGGAAGGATGAATAAAATATAGAAAGAAATGGGGGGATCCCCCCCCAATTTTTATTGCATTCTTACTGCAGGTGTAAGAAAAGCATGTAAGCTAACCATTTCCTGCAAAGAATCAGCTGCAAACTCAGTGAAAGTGTCTAAATCCTACCCAACTGGGATCTTGACAAAACTTTCAGAGAAGAAAAACATACCTGGTGATTTTATGCTACTCCTCCTCAACCTGTTGCCTTCCATGCTGGCTAGGAATTAGGAAAGAGATACCTTGTCGACTACTTGGAAGATACCTGGTTGCAGAGGACTGCTCAATACCACAGAAGCAAGGCCATTTTGGCTACATGATCATGAAAGCAGAACATACTTCCTCACACAGACGTAAAACATCTAAGAACTGAGACAGTGAATCTGATGATCGTGTCTCCGTAACTAATGCGGTGGGTTAGGTTTACACGCATTTCTCTACATCACTAACTTCACTGAAATGTTATAGCCTTGGAGAGATAGAATATAATGAATGTACTAATTTCTGTACAGTTTTTATAGCCCGTCCCAATCTCGGAAGGGTTGGGTTTTTTTTTTGGTCCCTTTGAGTCCATGTTGAAGGGGCTGGTGACTGCCTGGACAGGTCCCTGCAGTTTTCTTGGCAACATTTCAGAAGTGGTTTGCCGTTGCCTTCTTCCACCTAGGGCTGAGAGAGAGGGACTGGCCCAAGTCACCCAGTTGGATTTGCGCCAAAGGAGGGACTACAGTTTACGGTCTTCTGGTTTCTAGCCTGGTACCTTAACACGACACCAACTGGCTCCCTCTGGGAAGATTACAACAGAGTCAAATACAAATCAGTACCTGAACTTCCACAAGATGGATACCTCCAGCAACCAATTTAGATTAAAAGCTTGGTAAATTAGGGCCATTTTGGCTACATTTCAAAGTGTCATGATGGAGGGGCCTGTGTAGATTTCTGAGAGTAGAAATTTCCTAAGTGTGGGGGCCACAACAAAAAAGGAATACATGAATCTGCCTTTATTGGATTAAATTAACTGTCCATGAAAGTCAGTAGCTCTTGGCTAGCTGATCTCTCTCATGACCTGCTACAGTATATCATGGGTGGGCACATAAAGTAATTTAAGAATTTCTGGGAGAGCAATAAATAATTTGCAGTAATGTTTTCAGATTGTCTTGTCCAACACATAAGAATAATTCAATAATGGAACTGTCTAGTGAACTGATGGCATCCTCTTCACTTGAGCAGAAGTTGGGGTGCAATGCGTTAGGGTTTGCACTACTTTGAATTTCTGCACAGAAAGTTGATAGCTTGAATGGTCCTTCCCAACTCTAAAATTAAGATGAGGGATCAAATGAAACTTCCACAGAATGAAAGGTCCAACATCTTGCTTCCTAAAATGGTCTATGGTAAACCAACAAATGCCTTCCCTTGCTTCCATGAATCAAACAGAATCTATATCCTTTCCTCCTGGACTTTAAATGGACAGCTGATATAAACTATGATCTTACAGTCAGAACTTCCTTAAATAATTGGTGCTGAACACCATGGAAAGCTTCTTGCTAGATGTCAAGCAGCATCAGTATGATACCACTATCTGATGCATCATTTAAAAGCTTTACTGAATAGAACGTGTGATGACACCCTGCATGTTAGAAGGTCACTCTCTGGCCAGCAGTGGTGAATATAAAGAGTATGAGAGAAGAGTAAGATGAAAAGAATGCATGGGCTGTGTGCTTTCTGAATCATGCATTTTTGCCATGACCACAAAATCATTTCCAACAGTGTCATTCAATTCAGAGATTATGAGGGCATATTTATGCGGGCGTGTCAAGAACAACAATGCTGTAGTCCAAAAATCAACACTGGTTTTTCTTTCACCATTCAGATACTGACTTTGGAGAGATCTTTGAAGAAACCTTCAGCCCAATTTTGGATGTACTTCTTCAGCATCATTGGTGACCTCTAAAAATGATAATTTCTGTCCCCAGTTTGTGATATAAAAGAGTGCCCTTTTTATAGGCACACCAGCATTCAGCCCTCACAATTATGACAATATTTCGAAAAAAGCTTTTTTTAATTAAGTGCCTTCTGTATTTCTGTACATCTGCAATGCTCTGTTGATTTCAACAAGCAATATGATCTCATCTCACAGTAATGCTTAAAGATTTCTAGAAGGTGCTTTAATTTTTTTTTTCAGTAAAAAAAATTATGATAGCCTTTATTAATTTGCCAGAACCAACTACATGAATCTGGGAATCACAGCCTTCGAGGTAGGCATGCTGTTAACTGAAACCATTGTTGAGGACATCAATATTGGAAGACATTTATTGGCCTCTGTGCCATTCCCAAGGACAGGTGGAGATGCTCAGAATGTTCAAAACAAACTCCTAGGAGATTTGAGGGAATGCCTGCTCCCAAACCAATCTACCTATAAGGTCCAGATTACACAGCAAACAGTTGTATGATGTACAATTTTTCCAATTATTCAGAAGGCCTTTTCTGGCTCCAGTGTGGGCTGGTTAGACATAGCGAGTAGCAGAAGTATGAATAAGGAGTGTAAGTGATAATATGAAGGCACAACAAGGCAAGGTGAACAACCACAGATCAACAACATATGAACAGTCCCAATTCAACCCCTAGCATTTACGGGAAAGGATTAGGAAAGACTCTTGTGGTCCTATCACCTGAGACCCAGAATAACTGTCTTAAGTTATAGGATGACAGATTCTGATTGAATGTTAGGGGAGCCTCCTAGTCATAAGAACAGACAATGAAAACAGTGACTCAAGCTAGCAATGAGCTCCTCTTTGGTGGATGTGTTGTAGCAGAGGCCAGATGAACATTTACTGGAGATGCTTTAAATTGTATTCCTGCACTGATCAGGAGATTGGACTCTGTGAACCACAATGGCTCTTCCAATGCAAACAGTCTCATTTGAATTTAAGGGCTTAATCAGTAACTAGTGTGTTGAAAGCATCTGCTATAAAGTTGAGCCTTAGGCAATTATATACCTGAAAATACATCTCGCTCCACACAGTGGGGTTCACTGCTGTGACTTCCTTACTGAAAAGAAAAGATCCTCTTTAGGCAACAGAATTTGGAGTCCTTTTAGTAAATCTGACGATAAGTTAATAAAGTTAGTTGCCAGTTTATGAAGTGACTCCCCATTACTAATGTAAATCTGATTGTGCTTCCTCTTTTTTCTTGTATTATTATCAGCATGAAGTATTCAGTGCTATTCATATCTTCTTTCTGGTAATATCCGGGTTCCTTGACCCTATTTGGGATAGGAGGAGGCAGGAAAGAATTCCTCCCAAATAATCTTATTCTGGATAAAGAGCTTTCTTGAAGCCTTACGACCGAGTTTCTTTCTTGCTTGCTTACCTTGTTTTCATCCTTTTCCTCCATATCCTGACAACACTGAAACAGGTAAATCTATCAGGGCAGTTAATCTATCTTATTAATTATTATTCTGGAGGACAAAGCATTCTGATAGCATTAAATCATCTTTACAGTCATCCTAATGAGTTATGAGCTTTAACAAATTAACTGATGAGCTCTGTTTGCATGAAATTCTATAGAAGAAAACAATGACCCTTAAACAATAAGCACATTTTATTTTACATGATGCATCATCTTAGGTCAGAGAACTTTGGAGTGACTCTTTCACTCCAGTGCTGGCCATGAACAATTAACATTACAACTGGGAACAAATGGCTTTTCAAACTTCTCTCCCAAACATGTGGCCAGAGGAACTGGGTGGACAATTTCTCCAAATCTCTCTAAGAGCAGGAGAATTCTCCAAACAGGACCTCAAGGGTAGGCTGCACTACTGAGAAATCCCCCTGAGACATCTCTCTGATGTCTTCTCTTGGATTTTAATGGAAGCGTAGGAAGCTGGGGAGACTACAAACTTCAATTATACAATGAAAGATGGGACATTCATACAGGTACTTTAAGTGTCATATTGAACTGTGTGCAAAAACTCCATACTCTGTCCCTGAGAATTTCTCAGAAATGTTCTACGTTTCTGAAAAATGTTCTGCAGCAAATTATCTTTCATCAAAATGAATGAGAACTAGAAATGAAAAATGCAAGAGATTTTCTCTACTTGGCACCTGTATATGCAGATAAATAGATTCGTGTGTACACATGCATACGCATGAACACACATACACACACACACATATAGGCACATATATATATATAACAAGAAGATAGTGGAACAATGAACAATATATCGCCACTCATAATTCACTGCATGGGCTGAAAAATGAATCTGACACTAGCTATTTTAAGGATGGGGAACCTATGGTCTTCTAGATGTCGCCTTACAACTCTTAGCAACTCTATCCAGCATGGCCAATGGTGAAGAATGCTGGGTTATTTTAGGGTTATAAAGTGAGTACTTATTCATAAGCAACCAAAACAATATGATCTGCAAACAAGAAAGGAGTTATAGAGGATTCAGAGAAGCTCAAGGTGCGCAGAAAAGTCAGATACCCTCTGGGAACTGAGCATGCTTGGTGCCACAAAATGCTGAGCATCTCTTGGACGGCACAAAAGTGCCTAGGAAGATAAATGGAATGGAATGTACTTAGCCAACTTTGGCCAATCTTGAAAATCTAAACAGAGTCAGGCTTGGTTAGGTTTTATCTAGGAGACTATTGTGGCTGTAGACCAGACTGGGAAGTTGGAAAAAAAATAGAAGACTATGGCAAATAATTTCCATTTTTGTTGTTGCCAAGAAAACCACATGGATTTGTCTATGAAATCAACAGGAGTTGACCTTGACTCTAAAAATACTTTACTTTTTATCCTAGAAGAGGACCTCGTTAGCTGGTACCTCTAAAATCATACTATACTGCAGTAGTTAGCTAGCTGCAGGGTCTATTTAAATATGCTAACAAGAATTTTTCCAAGTGCTGAGCTTTAAGAAACATGGCAGCATCCATGCACAGGTGGGAAAGAAGGGAACCCAAGTATTAGTGGAAATATAAAATAAAATTTAGTAAAATGGGGGGAAATCCGTAAGAAGACTGATGAATGAGTATGCACAGAGGACACAAAATTGTGGTGGGAAGTTGAAGAGCAAATTTTGAAAAGAATGGATATCCTGAATGGAAATACTCTACACTGCTAAGTTTTCTGGTAGACCAGGAAAATGTGACAGTATACTAATCACTGGTTAATATTTATTCCTAAATCCCAAGTTCTTTCAATTACAAAGCTCTATTTTAATCTGTATAAAGTAAATATATCCATGGGTCCATACATGCTTTTGTTTTCATTTATTGAAATAATTGGGTGTTAACTTCTGATTATTCTTGTGCTCTTCAAAATAAAGAGCAATTCATCTTTTATTAAAAAAAAGGTTGACACTACCAGATTCTTATGTTATAAAATAGATATAATATTGACTTTCCCCCAGTAAAGTGAATAACAAGAGAAAGAGAGAGAAAATTATTGCAAGCCATGAATATGCTATGCTGTTAAAAAGCTAATGAATGGACAAAAGAATTTTTCCATAGCTGTTCTTTATCACAATCACCCCTTTGATTAGAAAAAAGGCCTAATTTTGATCACATTTGAATTTTATAATTGTTAGAAGTAGGACGTGTCTCAGCATTAATTAATTCCATACTCATGTCCCACCACAAGTCATCATTTCATATTTATGGATATATATATATATATAAAACACATTAGCAATCTGTGGGCCCAAAGAAGAATGAAAGCGCAAAGGAACAAAATTTCTGTGGTTTTCCAACAGAAGCAAAAATATTGTGAGAAATGTTAATAAAACTGTCTTACAGTTAAAAATATTTCTGAAACTCTGAAAAAAGGGGGAAAACCCCTCCATATGGGTTCCCTGATCCTTGCCTTAAATGAAAAGTTGCTTCCTTTTTGAATTTGCAATCTATGTTCCAAAGAAAGCCCCAGGCCAAATTTTCATAGACTTTTGAATACTTGTTAACAATGGGGTCGACTGATAACTCATATGGAACAATGTAGATTAAGGCTGAAATGAGTATTTCTATCACCCCACGTCAGTTACAAAAATGTTTTTCAGTGAAGATAGCTCCAACTTCTTCCTGCTCTATCAGATACTGTTCAGTTCAGCAATGGAAAACCTTCAGTGTGATTGCTCCATGAACTTGGAAGCCATCACTGATACATTAGGTGAGAAAGGAGTTATTTGCTAAGATCTCCTATGGTTTTGATGGTGCAGCACGGAACCAAATCAGGACGCTAAGAAAGACCTTCATGAACATCCCAACTTTCTAATCTGGAATCGAACTAACTTCTGAGTCTTTCCTACTTTGAAGTCCTTTGTTCAGTTAAGATTTTTTTTTCATCCCACTTTTCCCATCTGAAAAAGAAGTCACTCCAACTGGCTTTACAAACTATAAATAGCACAAAGAAACTAACCAATCATGCCACCAAACTGTTCACTAATTAAAAGCAGCAGCAGAAAGAGAAGTGCAAAGAACCCAAACTAAGTCAAGAAATCAAGCATGAGCAGAGTCAATTGTCTTTCTAAAGAGAAATGTCTTCGCTGGCTGGCAGATGAAAGAGGAAGATTACTGACTTGGGACAGAGACTTCTAAAGAAGGGGGACAAGGGAGCACATATTGGCACCCACACATCTTTGAAATCAAGCTCCATAAAAGGGATGTACAGCAGCTGACCTGAAAGGACATGATATTCACATGGAAGGAGACAATCCTTCAAACAGTTCAAAGCTTTGTCAAACTGTAAGAAGGGGCCATTGAAACCATCTAGTCCAACCTCAATCCAGGGATCCAAACTAAATCTCCCCAACAGATGGCAGTCTAGCCTTTGCTTGAAATTATCTAGTAATGGAAAGTCTACAGCTGTCATAAGAATTGGCTCCATTGTCCAACTGCTGCAACTTAGCATGTTTCTCCTAACATTGTTGGAAACTCTAAGTTAAGACAATTATTCCACGTCCTACATTCTGGGATGATAAGAGAAGGCACCTTCTTCTGAGTGACACACCTTTAGGTACTTGAAGAGTCCTCCCACATCTCCCCTCATTTTTTCTTTCCAAGGTGAAACATAACAGGTTCCCTCAATCTCTCCTCATAGCCTTTCATTTCTAGTTCCTGGATAATCCTTGTTGTCATTCATGGCATGTGTTCAAGCTTCTGTGGATCTTTCTTAAAATATAGTACCCAGAAAAGGACACAGTACTCAATGTAGAAACTGGCCAAGGTCAAACAGGGTGAAATTATTACTTCTCATGATTTGAAAACTGTTCTACTGATGCATTCTAACTTTGTTTCAGCTAGTTTTGCACATTATGGACCCATATTCAGCTTTAGGAATAATTTTTCTCACCTCTAGCAATAGGTAGGCTCATGCCTCCTATTCAGTCCCAAACCCTCAGAGGAGTGTATCTACCATTCTCAAATTTTTTTGGTGTTCAAAGAGAAAGGTTATATTCCTGCTGCTTTCAAATTATTTGAAATAGAAGTGCTGGCAATGAAGATATATGTTGAGCCATTTTCCTAACTCTGCCTCTTTAGAGAGCATCGAGTTCAGATTTTTGAGAATAACATTCCAGGTCCCAGGTTGCATCAGAAATTGTATCCTGCAGTTACAGTAGTGAAGGTAGAGGCTAAAGTATGGATATCTATATTAAATTATTGGTTGATATTGTTACATTTCTGTTTGGGCTTGGCCTCTCCAGCCAGAGGTATCTGCAGAATTTGGTGATTTCATAAAAATGAAGAAACAAGCATTGCAACATTGTGATACAAGCTCTGTCCTTCACATATGTGCATGCAATGCCATGGCACACATACAAAAGGGCAGAGCTTGTGTTACAACAGCATGATGCTCATTTCATCCTTTGCATTCCCTCTTTGGGCACATCTGCCTCCATCTTTGGAGGATGAAGTACAATTTGTATGGAAACCATCGCCAATGGTAAAATGTACGTCTTTCTCCCTCTTACTTAATTTTCTTTGGAATATGAATTGGCTATACCTGTTCTCAGACAGTGAATGTTGGATCAAGGCAGCAGGACCCCAGGTCTTCATTTTGCTGACAATTGTAGGTATATAGTATCATTTGTGGTGCATTTAATGCAACTGGAATTGCATGATGTAGATGGACTTTTACCCTGGAATGTTTTTTGTCCTTTGTTCTGCTATTTTGGAGGGAAAATACAAGAAGAGACTGTATGTGGAACAATTATGCCTTTATGAATCTGGATGAGTTAAGTTTATTAAACTTGCTCCTCAGTGTCCATTTTATAAAGGTTTTTACGTGTTCTTATTTCCCCAATACCTACTAGGTTGCTAGATGGTTTAGGTCAAGCCAATGCCTGTTTATTCCTCTTGGATTATAATCCCTCTCTAACATTTAAATGATTTGTG